ATCAAACCATGCCCTGTTTGGAAACATCTGCTTTCATTTATTTGTTTCTCCACCTTCAGGTTTTTCCTTTGTTTTGTCACCTATCTGTACATGTAAATACATTTTACTGTGTGAGCTCAATACTCATAGGAGCTATCTATATTCATTAAAGGAGGCCTCCCATAACATCACATCTGTTACTACAAGTATAGTTACTATACAGTTGTATTCATGTTATTGTGTGCAATCATATCATGGTTTCTAACTTTACAGTCAGTCAGATTCTGCTCCCGCTGTCTTCCTCTTTCCCTGTACTGCCTTCACTTTCTTACCTCCATCTTCCTTCCTTTACTTAGAGGTGACTGTGACTAATGAGTCTTCAGAGACCTCTTGTTGTAGGAGGAAGAGAAAGAATGGCTTCCACAGGCACACATTTAAAAGATGCATTGTGATGCCAGCAATTTGCCTCGGAGGCCCGTGTTAACTAGAGTATTCACTTTCCACTCAAATGAAGAAACAGGGAGATTGTCAAAGAGAGAAAATAGTCTCAACTGCACCAAATCTAATTACTGTTAGGATGCACACAGGTTCGGAAACACTTGGCCCTATGACACTGATGCTTAATTGCAACAGCATGTTGTAAATCTTATATGGCAGATTGCTGCTGGGCAATCAGACAGCAGCAGCACAAGGACACGCTGAAGATGAGTTTTCTTAAGGGAATGTAATATAGAGAATATAATTTCACATCTGGAAAGGATGAGATTACATTTATTTGTCTCCACCTGTTCTGCAGTTTTGTTTTAAAATGCTCTGGTCTTCTATTCTCTCTGTTCAGCACTCACAGATGTCACATTTTTGTACCACTGACAAATCAATTGCTAATCAAACAACGCGGCCACAAACGGATGAAAAACTACAGATTCTCCCTTTTAAAATGTCACAGAAACACCTTCACAAACAGAGCACTCATATTCCAACCATCCAATTTAATATGACACACATAACTACTGCAAATATAAAATTTCAAATATCAATACAGCTGCAAGGATGTGGCCTCTGACATTACACAGTGAGGATCTTTAGAATGTTTAAAATGTATAAACTAGCTATTGGTTGAAACACTATTATGTCATCTCCATGAGCAGAGAAAAACTGGCATTTATTTGTAGAAAATGTGTTTTTTAACTTAACTTACTAAATTGTGATTCCCCCCCCTCCTCCAATAGGGCAGGAAGTGGTAGTTGAAATATGCTGGCTGCACAAGCTCTGAGTTCTCAACACCAATCATACACAATGTGACAACTGTGTCGCTTATAGGCTATTAGGCCCTTGTCTAACAAGCCTAACTCATGACATACAAGGCACCAGTGGCTGAGCTCAGTTGTGCTGCACCCAATTGTGTCAAGTCTCTCCATCCAATGCTCCAGTATGGAGCTTCTTCCCTTATCAGCACTGACCTTCCCCTGCACTGTCACCAATTCTGCTCTCCTCCGCTCCCCTCTACTCTAACCTTCCTCCAGCCTCCCTAGGCTGTGGCCTCCAGCTCATCAGGGGGAAATTGGGCCAGCACTGGCTAGATGATGAGGCTGGACGACAGCCCCATCGATTAGCTGTCCCCCAGGGCTGATCTGTGGCTAACTGCTTGCTGGATGGAGTCTCATATCTCTGCCCTTATTCCCAACACCTCCACCCTCACCAACACCCCCTCTCCTCATAACCAGCACCATATCCCTTCGGCTTTAAGACCACGGCACCACCTTCCCCCAGCTCAGGTAGGGAAAATAACAGGTCTGGCTGGTGGGAAGGTCACGACGGGTAGATTTATGTCCAGTTTAACAGAGTAAGGGTACAGACATGAGCAATCAGAGTCAATGTAGGATCCTATATTTTCACTGATAGACCAGAGACAGGAGCTATTCACTCCCCTCAGCTTGATACCATTTCAAAGTCATGCACAGAGCAAAGAAAGAGGGGGAAAAAGGCTTTTGCTCTCTGGCAGATACACAAGTAAGATAACTGGTGAGCCTTTTCCATTTATTTTATTCCTGAAGCAGGTTCAGCTCTCAGCGCTTCTTTCGTGGCAAGCAAGAGATTGCTGCCAATTTGATAGTGATGATGACAAAGAACAAGGAAGCGGTTGCAGGTCATGATCACAGTGACATGTCCACTCTCAGCTAACGGGCCAGTCTTTCTATCTCTGCCCTACACTAACTGGCCTATAACTTAAGCAAGGCCCTTAATAGCTTAGCATGGCAATGACCAGAGTCCTGCAGTGAGTCCCTGATAAAATCAGAATAATCACTGGCTTCAAGTTCCCTGTTCTTGCTCTGTGGGAAGTACCCACAAAGCAACTGATTCCGTGGATAGATGCATAAGCAAGTACATGTGTGTGTGGTGGGGGTGGCTGTATTCATACTTGATTATAGCAATTCAACCTTCAAACGGCAACATGGGCTGCGGCTGACCTGCAGGAGCGCTGGATAATTACACTGCGTGACCCCTGCTGACCTCGCAATTGCCTGCTCTGTTTATCAGATTTCACATTTTCTGACGATGTTCCGTAGAGAAATCTTTGGGCCATTTGTGAGATGGATTAGATTGCTATATTGAAGGGCCCGTGGGGGGAGGGGGTCGATGGGTGCTTTCATGTTTGTTTGAGATTGGGAAACAAGAGACAGAGCTGGTGTAGATGAACAAGGCGGCAGATCTGTATGCCAGACAAAGAAAAGGAGCCCACTTCCAGGCCAGCTGCAACAAGCCACTGAGAAACTATTCAGGGAATCTTGAGTGAAAATCTCCTGATAGATCTCAGACTGAGGCTTAGAAAATGTGTAAAAGGTCATTCCATTAATCTGGATATACATGCTGAGAAACAAACTTAGATTAGACTTATTTAGTAATGTTGTATTCATCACTGAAAAAGCATTAATTCAAAGATAAAATCTTACTGTGTCGGTAAACTCCAAAACAGATCGACAGCCAGCTAGTTGGCTGACTTGAATATAGTCTCATGTTTGCAGAGGGATCAGACAGAAAAAGGGAATAACAATGATAATTTGTGCATCAGGGTTTACATACCCATTGAAATATGTTGTCATTCTTTATTTCAATTACTTTTTGGACACTGCCTTTCCTAGGATGTGCACTAATGGCAAACAGAATAATCTTTTATATTTATAATCCTGCAAAGGCAAATATATCCCCCAACACGTCTTCCCCAACAGCTCTACCTAGAAACAAAAAAGAAAACAAAAGCCAGAGCTGAGGAACAGCTCCAATTAAAGCCAGTGCCACACCATAAATCTTGGCCAGGCCTCTGTGAAATTGTGATGGGCATCTGAACAGTGCTTGCAAGGCCACAGCGGACTGTGTGAAACACACTAACGACAATTTTATTCAATAGTTCATCAGCTGGCCTAATGTAAAAAGAAAGATTTTCTTGTGCTTAAATGAGCTTTAATGTAGGAGAGAAGAGTTGGCCTGCCTGGGCCTGGCTGATGAAGATTAGCTGAATTCTTCCATTAGAAGAGGCTGTCTGGTGCAGCCGGCTGGAGTGGCAAGACAATAACCTAGTGCTAATTGTGTGCAACCAGGTCCTTTTTCTTCAGCATGCGCAATGGGTCTGGTTTGTGTGTGTGTATTGCATGTGGGTGCTTGTGTCTATGCATTTGCAACAAAGCTGAGTTTGGGAAAATAGGTCAGAGAAATACAGGACCTAGCCAACACCTAACCTTCCTGATGTTCCCCAAAGGTTTTCTGTTTGATAGTGTTTTTGTAACCTTCAAAAAACCTTTGATAATATTCAAGAATGTTCCCAGAAAGTCTCCACAGTGTTCCATAATAGTAACATGACAATTGTTTGGGAACATGGATCTCCTCAATGTTCAGAGGATGTTCCTGCAAGGTTCTCATACTATAACTATCCTGGGGGGTGATTTTTGTATGTCAAGACAATAACAACATTCAACAAAGAATTTGTGGGCTCTGATATAGCATCTGAAACCCTCTTTCCGATTGACGTTTTAGGGGATGAGTTGTATCATGCACACAACTTCACACAACTAATAACCGACCGTCCACAGCAGGCCAGACGTCACTCCGCGATCTCCTGTCCCTGGTCCACCCCTCTCTCTCCGATGGGTTGTGTTGCTAGTATAACCGACGCGCTGTGAACGGTTTGTGATTGTTCCCTCTGGCTGGATGAATATCATGCATGATCCATGCACTACTGCAGCTGGGGGCTCCCTGCAGCGCCACGCAACTTTTTAAATTCTTTCCTCTCACTGAGATAAGAAAGGTCAGGTCGCAAAACACAGTCGCAGCAGTTGAGTGAAGCGTAATTGTAGCAAAATGGCTGTATATGATAATAATAATGGTAATAGCCTAATTATTATTATTATTATTATTATAATAATAATAATAATAATAATAAGACAAACATGCCTGATATGTTCACAGTCAGCCCCTGGCCTACATTCTTTCTGTGAAACTTCAGCACCAGTTCATATTGTTACTATAATACTCACTGCATGTATGTAAATGGGTGGACTAAACATTAGAAGCACTAATTATTACAGTTTAATCCACCACCACTAACTATGGACTGAAATACGTGAGAGAGACAGAACATATTGCAGAGCTGTTGTATTGGATTGCTATAAATTGTACCAGTGTACATAATAAACTCATTGGGTACCATAGAGGTTCAGTGAGGGTGAAACTGGCGTTTATTAAAGACGAGTTTTTCTTTCACTGAGTTCAATGCCTCCAAACCGCTCCCTCTCCTTTGATGCTGTGGTAAGCAGCATTGTCCTGAAAGCTCGGACCACATCCTGTCTACAGGATGCAGGTGGAGGCCCAGTAATGAAGACTGATGGGATGGACATATAACTGCACCTGTAACTCTACGCTACTATCAGCTGTCAACAACACTTTAAATTCACTATGCTGTAACTTGGCCAACAGTCTGTATAAACGCAGGTATGAGAGAGGAGTAGGAATGTGGTCCAATCACTCACCTCTGATTGCAGAGCTGGCATGCAAAGCAGTCCAGGTGGTAGACATTCTCCTTGGCCCTCATGACCATCTCGAAGGCTGGAATTAGCTTGCTGCAAGCTGCGCAGTTGCCCGTTACACCAAACAACCTGAGCCACCCACACACAAAGAAGATATGACGTAAGTCAGATATGATGTAATAGCTTTCAAGGACTGGAACCACGGGGAAACTGCTAACCTAGTCTGACTAAGGAATTCCTGGTAGTCAGTCCAGATTAGCAGGTTCCATGATCGGTTGGACCTGTGAAGAAAAACAAATGTAACAACCAAGAACCATCAGTAAAAAAGCTTTCTTGGAAGGAATTAGGCTAGCAGTTTCCCACTGCTTTCAGCCTTTGTGCTAAACTAGGCTCAACACCTCCCAGGCTTACTTGTGTACAGGAATGACTTTCTCACCTGACAGTAATCAATCTCATTTTTTTAATCATATATACAGCTGTCTTAAAATACTCCACCATCACAGTTTCAGTCTAATCAGACTAAAGTGACATTCCAAATTCCATAGTACTTTTTATTTTCATATTTTCATGTTTTAGTGTTTTAGTATTTTATTTTACTTATTTATTTACTTTAGATTTGCACGAGTTGGTCTTAGGGATCCTTTCCTGGGGGTACAGGTTTAATTGTTTTCTCACTGACTGTTGATTGCATGATATATCATTTAATAAGAAATGTCACTGCTGTCATACAGGATTTATCATTTGTCATGCATTAGTTTGAAATAAAACCAATAAAAATGATCATGACATAAGGTATCTTTTTCAGCGCTGCCTTTTTTCTTAAATATTTTAGGGACAACAATTAAACACCATTTCCTTTTCCAAGATACCATGCCGCAGTGGATGAAATGTAGTTATTTTATTATATTATTTTGGGTTTAGAATTTGTACACATTTGAACTTTTGAACAATTTTGACTCAACCCACAACTATCTCCACCCTTGCTCCCCATTATAACTGGAACTACACCAAACAGACTGACTGCTTCTGCTGCTTCTTGGTGACTCTGAGAATAAGAGTGACAGCTATCTAAGAGATTATGATAAACATAATAAGAGAAGCTGCTGAAACAGGGTCTCTGAATCAGTCACAAAAATAGGTTGCAGAGAGCCGGGCTACAGTAGCACAGTAAAAAATAGCAGGGCCGCAGCTTGTGCCATAGATATAGATGGGACATGGGTAGCACTACTGCCCCGGGAGGACCCTATTATTTCTTGCTCCGGGAACATTAATGTGAGTATTCATTAGGGATTCAGGGCTGCTACTACACAGAGACCAAGACTAGAGTAGCAAGGGAAAAAATATCTGATAACGAAATCATATAACAAAATAACCTATTAAGCAGACTTCTTGAGGCACTTTTAGCTGTCGTTGTTAAAATGATAAAACGGCATGCCACTCTCAGAGTCTGTAAGAGATCGCAATCTGATAAATGATCTCAGGGCTTGAGATATGCAGGGTTGTTTATTAACCTTCAGAAAGTATGTTTCCCAGAGGCAAAGGAAGCAGATAGATTGTGCCCTCATGAATACCTACAAAATTAAGATCCACTGTCAACACACCTTGAGACAATGAAGGATATCTCTTGCAACATGGTGGGTGGTTAAAAACAAAGAGGGACAATTCGATGGATTAGTGCTGAGTTAATTAAAAGAATTATCATTATTTTCCTTTGAGCAATCTAAATTTAGATACATTTGTGGTATCTCTTGTCCTTTCTCTTTTCTGCACAAATGTACATTTGCTGGAAGGCCTTCTGAGATTTCTCAAAGCTGAGTAATTTCTCTAAAAAAAAAAAAGATATTTAGTATGCGATAACAAGCATTTGAGCATAACAGTAGCACTTTGTATGGCATCTTATGACAAAGAGTCACAATGCCGCCACCTCTCACTGTGCAGGGGTGAATGTCCTTGTCTGTAACCTGAATCCGACTGCATGCACTCAAGGCTCTGGATTATAAATGGTGGAAGGTATTTGTGTAAAAAAGTGATGTTTTAAGCTTTGTGCCTGTCAGCTTGAATCAAAGCAGTGTTCTGTTTCACTGTTCGCCGTGTCTGTCCATGCTTTTCTCTCATCTCTTGCAAATTTAAGGTGGCCTGCGCTGTTGAAAAGGGCTGTCACACCACTTTGTGTGTGCCTCCCATCCAGTAGGCACTTGAATCAATAAATAAGACCACTACTTTCCTCCGAGGTTGAAGTGCTGAAGTGAAGTGACAACTTAAAAAGCCAGAATGAGACCACCAACAAAACTAGTAAAAGGTTTGCACACTGTGGAAACACACAGAATAAAGAAAACAATTGGGTAATGGTTTAACTTGCCCATATTTTTAGTCATGCTCCATGGCTAAAACAGCTAAACAATGTTAGTGCTGTGCAGAGGCCAGAAGAATAAGATAGATCTGGCACCAAGATATGTATTCTGATCTGGTGAGATAAATGTCAGCATGAGTTCCTAAGTAAAAATGTCAAAACAAAAAAGATAATAATGATACAGACATTACACAGAAATTAAATAATAATATGGATTAAAGATTTAAATTTGAATAACAGCAATGAATATATAAGTTATTACAGTGGACTAACAAGACGTCACCCTAACATGTAAGCATGGCATGTTTTCCCAGTATGGCAACAATTTGAAGTCATTCACTGTTAGCACAGGTATGTCAGAGTAGCTTTGCCTGTAGCAGCGATACTGTGTGTAGTTTTTGATCATGACAGGATCAGGAGTAAGAGTTACAGAGGCAGTTATATTAAGCAATGTTGTGGAAATGGAATCCATGTAAAAGATCCACTCAATAACATTTCATTTAAAAAAAAAAGTCTTGTACCTTCTGGTGCTTTAAATGATTAGAACACCACCTCCCAAGCAAACTTATGGGAACAATACATGCTGTACAATGCCTCCTCAAATCAAACAATCTTTTTAGTGTCTCTGACTAGCTGAGCTGAAGAAGTGGAGATGTTGATAACAGTCTTTAGAGATATACCCAAACTGCATCTGTGGCACTGCCAGCGTCTAGCTCGCTGGGTTCTTGTGTGGCAAACACTTTTGAAATCGGCTCACCCTGCGGGAAGGGAAGATGGATGGAGTGTACCTGCCACTCGTCTTTCACCGCTCCGCCAGTTTGATGCCACAGATACTAATGGCTCTCAAGGGAGGAGGCAAATTAAGCGTGGTTTGGTTATAATGAATTCAAAAGCACAAGCTTCAACACAATCAGAGGAGGTTTAGAGGTGTGTGCCTGGGACTTATAATTGGTAATAAATATATACATTTCTAATGCATCTCTCTCAGGATGACAATGGTACAGCTGTCTGCCATATCTAGAAAGCTGCTAACTGTGGGTCTGCTGACAAAAAAAAAAAAATACAGAATAACATAAGTGGAATAGCAGGCTTGACATACACTCACATCCATTGCTGACAAAATAGCATGTATATTTAAAGAGGATGAGGATACAACATGAAATTAAAATTCATGCTTTACTCAAATCTGAATTTGAAAGAGAAGAGAGGCAGTCGGTGCCCAGTACCTTGTTTCAGTCAAAAGGCATTCACTGTGCATTACAGCCTGGTACGGCTCAGTGGTACCCATTTGATGAGAGAAAAACAGACACCAATTAAATTATTCCACAAGGCTTTAGCCCAGTGGACCCCAAAACCCAATCTGAGTGTGGAGCCCCCGCCCCATTTAGAGAATACAGGAGTGGTGTCATGCCAGTTCTTTTTCTCAGCTTTGTCAAGCTAAATCCAAAATCCCCCCTATGGTGTAGAAAATAAATGCATTAACCAAGAATATACACATGAAGCCATAGATAATGTACAAAGCCAAAGACTTCTGATGCTGGAGTGATTTTCCAAAGCCTCATCTCTGAATATATATGCAATTTTATGTTATAATATAAATATTTAATATTTCAGACAACATACGGCTACAGACAAACCAAACTCAAGCATCTTTAAAAAGTAAGTAAGCACTGAATCACATCAGACAAAAAGTTGCTGTATCACCGCTTTGTTTTGTTTTTTTTGTTTTTTTTTCACCGCTTTGAAACTCACTCAAAAAATCACAGCTCAGTTGGTGAAGAAAAACAGACACATGCTCGTTCACAGCTGGAAGAAAATATCTAGGACATGTTTGGCCAGGTTAAGATCCATCCATCCATCCATCTTCATCCGCTTATCCGGGATCGGGTCGCGGGGCAGGTTAAGATGTTTGTTGATAATTTTATAGGCTTTAATCTTTTTTAATTATTTATATAGAAATATTGGTGGATTGATGATCCTTCGGTTGTAGCTGCCATATACTGTTGAATAATTCAAAATTACACGTTGAGGTGACACACTGTTTCTGGGCAATTTTCAATGCTGTGACCACCACAAACTGAAGTCCATTCGCCTACACTCTATTGAGGTAGAGGCAGAAATCTTAAGAGACAGATATCTCAACACCTGAACAGACAAAACCTGCCATCTGCATGAACAGATGCTACTAGAGTGAATAGACATTTTTATGTTATTTAGGTGAAACGTTCCTTTAAAACTAATTGCTAAAGGCTGCGTAATGAACAAACTTTGGTCAAGAGGATCAATCAACTCCCCCATCATTCACCTGACTAGATATCCAGCACCATCGAAGACAACAAATTAAGTTTTTTTGGGTTAATCCATTTTGGAGAGCAGAGGACAGTGACAGCACCAGGGCCTCGAGTCGGTGTTTGAAATTCCAGTGGCGGCTTTGCTCTCCTCTTCCCTCCTCCAACCCCCATCTCTTCCATCCCTCCCACCACTTCAATTGCTTCAGCCTCAGCATGCATTCATCAGCTGCCGGATTAGAATTTGTTTCCTCACAAACCATTGATCATTGGCCTATTACTAGGCAAATGACAGTTAATTACCCACTACATTAACCACCGGGACCCGGGGACTAACTCCCTGGGCCATCAGTCAACATGATGAATGTGGCAAGTTCAGTAATGCACGACCATTCCCTCGTCCGCCTGCCATGCTGAGAACAACCCCAGGATCTCACTTTCAGGCACCCAGGGAAAATCTATGGCAATCTACATAATTACAGGCTCAGGGT